AACCGTCTGTTTGTTCTTCGACTTAGGCTTGTATTTTAGTGCCTTAAACTTGTGCTTGAACGTCTTCGAATCTCATCGGCTGGGACCCACTAAAATAGGCTTTTAATATTATATTTTATTGCCTTAAACAGGTGGTCTGTGAAACGATTAATAAATCGATTACAAAAAAGTTGAAGCATGTGAAATTCAAGGTAACGTTATCACTTATTTTAGAAATGGCTGGCTAACCTGTGCTAGCAACAGCCTCATCAACTACACTCGCATTCGCTGCCGCCCACGTCACTCACCAGGCCAAGTCCCGCCTTTTCAAGTCACACGTTCAAAGTCACAGATAGCAGAGTGGCCAACGTGAGGACGGCGACCCAGAACGGACCAAAGTCTTACATGAACGTTTTGTGTTGGCATTATTTAATAATGTCAAATCATTTTCTCTCCGTCTAATTGATGAGATAATCAGTGAACGATTCTGAAAATATCAAATTGCATCATGAGGTTCAAGCACTTCTCTAAGGCAATAACATATGATTAAACGTTTCAAAATCTTTTTTTGGTGTGTGTGTCAGAGTAGACCTATAACATTTTCAAGCACGCGTTTAATATCCAAAGCCATCCAGTGGTCAACACTTCAGCTTTGGGACGGATAATACTGCTTTTCACCGACTGGGCACATTCAAACCTGTTATTGCTGTTACGAAATGTTTGTTTTGGGAATAATTTCAGCTCTTTAAATGTTTAGGAGTCATACAAATTATTATTTAGTCGCATAAGTTGTTGTATAGCAGCTGTGAAATGATGCTATATCTTCCAAAGTGTATCTTGTAAATCACATGACTTAATACGAACGATGTCTTTACTTGTAGATGACGAGCTTTCACTACTTCGATGTTGTTTATGTATAGCAGAAAAGTAGCAATCGATAGGAGTGCAATATTTGCATACATTTGTTTGTTTGCCCGAAAATAAACTGTTTTGAATTCAGCCATTTTGTGTGTGTGTGAGACTGTGGCCTCGACATAATACGTGAAATGTTGACTTCCGGGTGAAACAATTGAAAGTTGCGATCATGTGATTCTGTGGGGGGTGTCTGGAAATCTGCCACAAAAATCTCTCGACAACATAACTAAATTACAGAGTACCTCAAAATCACCGAGATCTTACATTTAAATCCGTTAAAGCATTAAATCACCCCGTGAACGGGACTCACACATTGACACAAAAAGGACCCAAAACTAAGAAATTGACAAATACCTGATAGAACGTTTTTTTTGTTGTTGTTGTATATTGAACGACTTTATGAAGTAGTTGCCCCCCTTCTCGCTGCCCCTGGCAAGCTTTCTCAACTCCAGCTTAAAGATTTTTTTTTTTTTTTTTGGCCCAGCCTGGTCAGGTGGCGCTTTGAGCGGGGCGTCACCGTGGCAACGGCTGATGCTAGACGGGGGCCTCCACACAGGACAAAAGCTCCTTTTTTATTGCGGCTGGAATCATGTGCGCGCAATAAAGCAGCCGGCGGACGACAGCATGCACCTTTTTGCCAGTGGTAAACATCCGTCCGCTGAGAGCTCTCTTCTTTTTTATTTTTTTATTTTTTTAAATCTAGGTGGGAGCAAGTGACAATGGTCATGAAATAAATGGCCCCAAAATGCTCGCGGGCAGTGTACACAAACGCACTTGTTTGTTGAAGGTGTTTACCCGAGATCTCGTATGAACCTGTTGCATGTTTGCCGTGTGACTCGTATTTTGGAACAATATTGTTTGCATGTGGCTCCAAAGGACTGCTTTTATCTTATCCTGGATCCTTACCGATTTCCTGTGACTCACCCAATTGGTCTCAGACGACGAGTTGATTTAGAAAGGAGCACTTTAACATTGAATCGACTTCCTTCATAAACAGAGAGAACTCAAAATTAGATCAAGAACAGGGACTCGAAATCCCATGGAGGTTTTAGAGTCGGCCATGTTAATCGTTGCGCCCTTACACTCTTGAGATGATCCGCAAAAATCCGCTCAGTTGTCATTTTCGTTTGGTCTCAGTTCGTGCACAAAGGCCGCCAGCCTGGCTTTTTTTTTTTTTTTTTTGCCAGCCACTAAGTACAAAACCAGGCTGTCCACGTGGTCTCAAAAGTCACCGTCATGGCCACGTCACTAATCTAATTGATCTCTTCAATCGCTATGTCTTGCTATCTATGCCTGTCGTGTATATGGGCCTTCGCACGGTCTTGTTTGAGTCATGGCAAGTCATTTTTGACACGGCTTCTCCTGCACAGGGTCGTGGCGGGTGCCGGAGCCTTTCTCAGCTGACTTGCAACTTCTTTTGAGTCCACGCCATTTGCAGTATGTTGGAATCGCCACACGGGGGCAGCAAATTGCCGTCCGCTTCGATGAATTGCAGGTATGCTTTTATCTTTACTGAAGTGACGTGTTGCGCAATTTAACCCGTGATAGGATACAAATGCGTTTTAATCTTGTTAATTCGAAGCAGGTTATCCGAGCCTGGGTACAAGTTCTTGTCTTTAATTGCCTACTTCTCCTTTCATCCTTGTTTCCATCCTACCTTTTCCCTCCCTTCCATCCTTCTGCCAACCTTTTGGACTTTCAATCGACCATTCTTGACTTATCCCCTTCATTTTTCTGTCTTTAACGTCCTTTTCCCATCCTTCCTTGCTTCCATCATTTCCTTCATCCTTCCCGTTCCCTCCCATCTTCACAACGTCCTCGTTTCCTTCCTTTCATTCTGTCCTTTCGACAGTCACTCCTTGTTTTTTTTCATCCTTTCTTTCCTCCCTTTCTTTTCTCCTTCCTAAAATGACATTTCTACATCTTTGACTAATTCGTTAGATTTGTATTCTTGCCACTGACGATGGAAACCATTTTGAAAAAAAAAACCCATCTTTATTCATCTCACACTCATTTGAAATATACAAATATTTACACGTTTCTCCTTAGAGGATGAATATATTTTCATGCTGATTTTTTTGTTTTTGTTTTTTTGGGGGGCTGCCAGGTCGCCACCACAACACTTCATTCACAGTGCGACATGTGGTGCACTTGTGTCAGCTTTACTGCATCTGAAGCCACTAAAATCACTTAAGCAAAATGTGCACATCATCTCAAGTCTCTTTGCATTCAACATCAAAACAATTGTCAAGTTATCGAGAAGAAAAAAAATGCCGGCTTGCTTGTACCGTTGTCTGCAGTGCGTCTACGTCCTCACAAGTGACACTCATTAAATGTTGGATTTGAGCAAGAGTAATAAAATGTGCGGCTCGTCCGCAGTCGACGATCGCCGCACTTGCTAGTCGGCCACTCAAGTTGCGTTGTCATTGTCCATGTTGCTTACTGTCAGTTGGTGTCTAATGAAAACAAAATTCCAATTTTCTTTTTTATTTCCAACAAATAATTTGCTTTCATAAGCTGAAACACACCATTTGTTTTGTGTTGAATTCTATTTTCATGTTTTTTCATCCTACAACAAATGCTATTAAAAAAAAAAAATCTTAAGATCAAAAGCACAAAATAAATTATTTTTCTTTGTGTATTGAATTAAAGTGAAGATGCAATAGCACAAAAAAAAAATTTTAGGTAATAAAAAGCATTTAAAAAATGACACCCCCCAAAACTTAAAATGACTATGTTTAAAAAATATATCTGGAAAAATTATTGGGAGGTTTTTTTTTTTTTTTTTAATAAAATATATCCTTTCCCCCTCAAAAAATATTTTCTGCTTTGGATTCGTGACATTTTCTCTCTTCAAAAATGTAGCCGGAAAAAAAAGCAACCACCCTAAAATTTTCAACACACAAAGCATTATTTGTTGTGTTTCGGATATAGGAAAAAAATGTAGTGATTATATTTGCACGGGGATGATAATGGTTCTTCGGGCAATTTGTATTTGACTTCAAAAGACGTTTTGTCTGTCGGGGAGTGTGACGCATTGGCGCTGGTTGATCAGTTCTGCCGCTGCCATCTGTTAAGCCAACCAAGCGTAGCGCCGACAAGTCCATTTTAGCAATAAAAAGAGACTCATTAAAAAAAAACAAAAAACAATAAAACAATATAATTTTCTTTAGTTGAAAAGAAATGAGAACAACTCATGTTTTTTTTTGTTTTCCAGCGACAAAAGTTTCTTTGGCATTGGATGCAATTTGTTGTGTTTAAACTTTCTCCCTCCTATTGGCCGTCGTATTGGGTGTCATTGAAAGTGAGGTGAATTGCGCTGCCAAGTGTAGCTTGAGGTCTTGACTGTTCTGTCTTAGCACCACCAACAAGTTAAAAAGAAACACCAACAAATGCCCATACAGTACGCAGACACGGTACAGTGAACCCCCGCAGTTTGGGATTCTCGAATTAGCAATTTTTTTTTTTTTTGACTAAAAATCTCGGGTATTAGACCAAATTGATTCAGGTTTTTCTTTGGGGCCATCTGGCAAAATCTTGTGATTATTGTTGTTTAATATCAACTGGTGGCTATTTTCCTGTTGGTCCTTGAATGCGCAGTCCAAACTGAAACAGAAAGTGACTGATTGTTTTTGTTTCTCTCCCAGCTGCTAATAGCCCACAGAGTCTAATTTGCTCTCACAAGTTGCCCCCCCCCAAAAAAAAACATTTCTAATTGCGTTTCTATGCCCCAAATGGAATTCAATGACATAATACCATTTGTGTAAAGTGCAAGTGCAAATAATTGCTTGCCCAATGTGTGATCAGTTTGCGCTAGCGTGCTAGTTAGGCTAGCATGCTAGCTCGTGCTCTTGGTGGGCCTCATGTCAAAGTGGTTTAAGTTGAATAATTTTACTGCTGTAGTTTCTGATTGCGCACATGTGAGAGGCATGGCGTTGATGCTTTATAATGCTCTCTGTTTTTAAGTGCTTTGCTGCCACTTTGTGGCATCTCTCCGCAATGACAAATTATGTCAATTCGCGGTTTGTCTCGACCCTGCCGTTTAGTGGGGGGTCCACTGTACACAGGTGGGTCCATTTTTTTTTTGGTCAGCAGAGCATATGGTCGTCGTCCTCCACGTCGAAGGACGGCACCGTCTGCTCGACCAGGCTGGCTTCCGTCGTCGGGCGTCGGAACCACGGGTGCGCCAGTAACTCGCAGGCTGTGAGTCTCTCTGCCGGTTCCTTTCTCAGAAGGCTCTGGACCAGGCAGCGGGCCGCGGGCGAGAGTCCCTCAGGTAGGCAACAGTGTCCCCGGCGAATCTTGGAGAAGAGCGCGGCCGGGTCGGCGTCGTGGAAAGGGTAGCGGCCCGCCAGCATGGTGTAAAGCACCACGCCCAAGCTCCACATGTCGGCCATCTTGCCCGAGTAGGGCGCGGCCCCGCTGAGGATCTCGGGGCTGACGTAGGCCGGGCAGCCGTGAGTGTCACACACGGCGTCGTCCCGCGGGTCCTCCAGGACGCGGCAATCCTCCAGGCTCTCCAGACGCACTTGGGTCCTGGTAGGACGCACAAAAAAAAAAAAAAAATAGATGGGTCAGTGTTACCATGGTGATGACAAGTAGCTGTTGTGTGCATGTAGTGCCCAGTTTGGAATTGCCCTGTTTGGCCCCGTCCTTTGGTGAGAGCATTTTCATATTTTAGTACCTGCATTTTTGTGGTTTGACATTTTGAAATTTGGCAGAAATATTTAAGTATTAGCTAATTCTGATAAGTTGTAATCAGTGTATTTTTGGGGGGAACTACGTTGACGTGACTTGAAAGTAGGGATGTCACTATTGAATAGAATCGATTAGTCGAACGATCGGCTAAAATGTGATTTTGTCTTGCAAAACCATTTTTTCTCTAAACACATTTTTGCAAAATGTGTTTAGTTGGTGTTGTTTAGAGATAGAAAAAAAAGAAACAACGACGCGATATCCACAAGCGGGAGTGATGATGTCATGAGCAACCTTTTGAAACTGATCCATTTGCTGTTTTGCTCCTTGGTTTGCAAAGTCAAAGCAGATGTTTGCAAATGTCTTATTTTGATGAAACACCAAATATAATCAGTCTGCTTTCATGAAGGGCGACAGTCATTCGGGAATACTTTTGTACAATTTTATGTTGCACGCCGACGAGTTGTCGATTCATTTGGACACCTCGACTTGACAGACACGCAATTTCGACAGAGGTCACGCCTTGCTGCCATCTCCGACTTCGGGTGGCTGTCACGTTTCATGCAGATTACATTGTTCATGATGGAATCGGGCATTCCGAGACGATCACGTGACCAGTTGACGTGAAACACCCTCGCTCGTTCCTGAATGCTTCCTCTTTGAAAAAAAAAAAAAAAAAAGTCACAATTGGCATCGCGATGGGGCTGTGACGATCTAACATGCGCACGTGTTGCAGCTGGAAAGGCCACTTGTGAAATAATGAGCGGGATGAAGAGTGCGACGCGCGCCGCTCGAGCTCCCCGCCGGCTTCGGCCTTCCTGTGCGTCAGCGCCGTTGCCGGCAGATGACCGGCTGGCGGCGGGAGCACGAGACCCAGGTGCAAGATGGCCTCTAGTGCCGCCGCCGCCATGAGTCACCCTCTCCTTTGCCGACTTGCGTCGTCAGACACAGACTAGTAAGGCGAACGGCACATATCCTTTTTTTTTCCCCCCCCCCACCTCAACACCGTGGCTGCATTTGTTTGTCAAATGTTTTTTTTTTAAATAAGAAATTTGGCATAGGCAATAAGTTGCCGAGGAAACCGCAAAGCGGGCGCCACTCGCTAATGCGACTCTGTTTCTTTTACAATTTTTTTCCACTTTCAAACTAAATGATGGTGCCCCATGAAATCTGCCTAGCAGCAAGCGACCACAATAGGGACGGGAAAAAAAAACAAAACAAAAAAAAAACAGTTCTGTTGAGATCATTGTGCGACGAGAGTGGCCATTTAGGACACGCCCCAACATTTCCAGTCGTATGGAGACACAACACCGATTGCTTTCATCATTTATTTCATGCGGTGTAGCGCAAATTGGAACGTACCAGAACAAACTTGCCTCACGCAATTTCTGGTTGAATATGACTTCCCATTCTCTCCCTGTCCTTTTTCTGCCATTTTGGGGTTAACCTAACCTTTGCTACAAATTGGTAGTAAAACATCAAAGCAAGCATGACTCGAGAGTGCGAAATTTCCATTTCTGCCACGCGACACGCAAAAGAAATTCATTCTGTTGGTCGACGATGCAGAGCTCTGCGAGGTTATCTTCAGCAGCTAGCATTAGCCGTTAGCATGAACAACAATTTTACTCGTCCACATATCAGAGTTGGACTTTCGGTTCGTGCCATCGAGAAACGCCATGACGTTGCGCTACATTGCTGTGCTCCGCTAACTAGCCGAAGCAGCTAGCATTTGATGACATTTTTTTTCGTTTTATCATAAATGAAGTCGACTCTTTGTCTAGTGCGGTTGAGTACATTTCTGTCGCCTCGGTTTGTTTTGACTTCCTGTTCCTGCCGTATCTCCCCGTCCTTTGTTCCAATTTTGGGCCAGCAGTGCACTTTCCCTGGGATGTAGTCCACGTAGAAACAGCACCTCTCTCGCTTGAACACTCCCAACCGTGCAAACCGGCGACACTACAACTCTTCACTGAGCTGCTTCTCTCTGACTGAAGCCGGCGAAGAGCAAGAAAAAAAAAAAAAAAAAAAGAATCCGGCATGCAGCCCACCGGCCCCCCTTTTGTTTCCTCAGAGTGTGTGCGCACTCTGTGACTCATCGCTCTGCAGGCTCGTAGACATCGAGAAGAGTCGCGTCTCTCGCTGTCTGTTCGCATTTGTCTGGCGTGACCTCCATTTAAAGCCAGTCCAAGAGGCAACAAATTGTTTTTCCAGCCGGGGAATTTGCCTTCATACCCCCCCCCCCCACCCCCTAAAAAAATGCTCTGAAGTCCAATATTTAAATGCCATCTTGTGTGAATGGGAGCCTTTGGCCGCCTGATGTGCGGGATTAATAATTAATGAGGGATTAATGTAAATGGAACGATTGGCTCATGAAGCAGGCCTTGTCGTCTGGCAGCTTTTGACGCCCACCCAGCTTGTAGTACAACAGAATGGTGGGACACAGACATGAAATTGTGCCTCCACAAGTGCACAACCTCCCACTCGAGGTGTGCCCACACACGCACGCACACACACGCACACACACACACACACACACACACACACACACACACGCACACACACACACACACACACACACGCACACACACACACACACACACACACACACACACACACACACACGCACACACACATGGGCGGCCCGCAGAGAGCATCTGCCGCCATGTTTGTTCTCTGGGACGCTTCATTAGGTACCCTTGCACCATGCCAATAGGGGAACAAAAAAAAAATTCCATCACGCGACCAGTAAAAGACTTTTTCCTGCGTCCCGGGGCTTAAAAATGTTGCGTTTGGCTAGTTAGCATTAGCACCTGGTGTCAGTGAACATTTTAGGCTGTTCAGACACATCATTAGGTACCCCTGCACCTGACCCCACCCTGCAAAGGCCTAAATGATGCTCATGCAATAGGAGAGGAGATTGTTGGAATTTTTATTCCGTTCAGATCTCCAATCACATTTATAATTTTTTTTTTTTCGTTGACCTGTGCCCCACTTCAAGTGTCTCATGTTTCTATTGTGTAATCACGGTAATGATCAAACAATCCAGGATGAATATATAACCACTCCGGCTGGCAAAATGATCACCAAGGAGCACGTTTATATATATGTGTACACACCTCGCTGACGGTGTCATTCAAAACTGAGCATTATTATAACTTCAAAGTGGCGCAAACATTCTTGGCTTTCAAAAATACCTTTTTTTTTTTTTTTTTTAACCATTGGGATGCTTCAGCTCACCTGCGTTCGTCGGCCAAGACGAACTTGCGCAGCTTGAGGTCGCCCAGCACGACGCCCGCCTGGTGGCAATGCGCCACAGCCTCCGCCATCTGCCGGAAGAGCGCCCGGGCCTGCGCCTCGTCGAGCCGCCGTCGGCTCTTCACCAGCGTGTGCATGTCACCAAAGTCTTTATCCAGGAAGACGTAGGCCTCGCGCTCCCCGAGGATCACCTCCTGGACGGCGGAGATGCTCGGGTGGGGGGGCACGACCCCGTAGGCTCGGATCTTCTGCTGGTACTCGGCCATGCTGAAGACCTGGGGAGGGGGGTGAAGTGTTATGAGGAAGCCGTCCACTTGGAGAAAATTCTACAGTTCAATGCTCATTTTGTAGGCTCTGGAAAAGTGAGAAAAAAATGAGCCCTTGACACCAGTTTCACGAACTATTAAGACAGGACGCAGGAAAAAGTCTCAAGGAGCCATGCTTGAAAACCAACAGGAAGTCTGCCATTTGGGCCTGACACTAATTTCGGGCCAGTTCTAAAGTTTGAGTATGTTCAATACACTTTTTTTCTTCCCAGATATGAGTATTCATTCTTTGACTACTCACTGATACAGAATTGCGATACCTGCAGCATCTTTTGATGCATTAAATTTCAGTTAACGGAGTGACAAAAAAAACCCATTGTGAACAAACGATGATTCACCGATGTGTCAATCTGCTCCAGTACGGTGCCGAGGAGGACTTTGTTTGATTTTTCCTTAAGTATCACTGTGTGGTATTGGCAGCCTCCATAAGTATCTGATACCTGAAAATAAGGTTGGTATCGCCCCGATACGATACTTGGTATCGGTACTCGCTCATCACTAATTTTGAGGATATGGCAAGTTGGGATAAACTAGCCCTTGACATCAGTTTCACGAGTGACGGGAAATTGGCCTGATGGGTCAGACACACGAGAAAGTCTCAAGCAAGCTCCTGTGCCCAAAAGCGAACAGGAAAAAGTTTGATGATCATTTTGAGGCTTTTTTAATTTCTTTTTTTTTTAACTGCCACTGGCTGTGTAATTGTCATCGCCCGAGGATTCGAGCAAGCATGCAGATTTGGCATGACTTTTGCAAAAACGGGCGTGTTTACATTCTGCTTCCATCTCGGTCCTTTTTTTTTTTTTTTTGCAAGAGGACACATGAGTCATCGCTGGGTGAAGCACATTCACTTCAACAACGAGGCCTGCGGGGCTGACGGCGCGCGCTCGCGCGCATCCTGTCCAAAGTGTGCGTTTCACGGGGACAATGGGAAAGCTCACGCTTGCGTTTCCGCTGTGTCACAATATGACTTGTACACAAACGAGGCTCCGCGTTGACGTGACGCGTGAGAAGTTCGCGTGACAGCGTCGACAAAAAAAAACAGCCAGTTGGGCAACCGCCATTCACGGCTGAGAGTTGCACAATGGCTGCGCGGCGCCGTCGCGCGCCCGCGCGCGCGCCCGTTACCTTGCACAGAAGCTCGTCGCCGGTGTCGACGTGCACGGCGCGGCAGTGCACGCCGTCGCGCTCGGCCGAGGCGGGCACCAGCAGGAAGGGCCCGATCCTGGAGGGTCCCTGCCGGGCGACGGCGGTGACGCGACCCGCGGCGGTCGTGGCGGC